TACAATTTTTATATCAGGAAGTAAATTTGCAGGGAAATGTGACGGTGATGATAGCAGAGTCCTTATGTTTACTGAATCATCTCTGTGTGGACTTCATTGACAAACGCGATGATCCTTTTAACGGAGGGGGAGAAGATAATTTTTCTGATTGGCTCTCAGGAGAAAGGCTGGCTATACACTGCTCTGTTTATCTCGTTCAACCTGCGGGCTGAACAAAAAAATAAAATAGAGCAGATTCCTCCATCAACCCTATAAGTGCGCTGATCAAGGAATCCCTGCTGTTCCTTTTGTATTCTGACAGTGGCCGCCGACCCCTGTCAGAATATCCGGACAGAGCCGGCAGCTCATTGGCTGCCGGCTCTGTCCGTTCGAAGATTTTCCCATCAGCTTATCACAGCGGGCACCCACTGTGCAAAATCCGCCCCGTGCATGGTCACCTTAAGTCTTTCATGGGACACTGTGCTATAGCATCTGGGGAGATGTCTGTGCTAGAAGTGATAGATAGAACTGTGAGTCCAGAGTGTGAGTTTGCTGCACAGCCCAGGCCTTCACAGATTGGCTTTGCTTGGATGTAATGATCCTGCTGAGTTGATTGGTAAATCTTACAGAATTTTCCCTAATGAAAACAATGGCTTATTTTCCTCAGCTAATACTTCAAAGAGGAACAGTGATTGTAGGTTCATCTTGACCTGTTGTCAGGCTGGGCACACAGTGAGCGGGTCCTGGATTTTTCATGGCTCTTTTTATGTGTCTGTACACACAAGAAAAGTCCTGTATTTTGGGGTGTACTCTTGAGGACGCACCCAGACTTGTTTAGTGTGTTCAGATCATGTGATTATTTCATCAAAACATATGGAAATGCTTTAAAACGGATGGCATTTGACAAATGCATTGTAGGAAGTTAAAATGAATTTGGGGCCCATTCACATCTATATGCGTGCTTTTGGTGCACACTGCAGTGCCTCTGCCCATTTATTTTTCTGTGCCTTTTGGCAAGCTTCCACACATCATAAAATGCATCTGACCTATTTTTTGAAAATGCTCTAACACTAAGCTTGTGTATTTAAATGTATGCATTGTGATGGGTTGGAGGGTCTTGTTTGCTATTTACTGTGCTGAAGTGCATTGGGGACCCATTGGTAATAAAGAGGATGCTCCCAAAAATGTTTTACAAACATGCACCAGCGCTCATTCAGGACCCATTCAGACCTGTTTGTTCTGGTGCATTGTGTTAAAGTGACACTAAACACAGAAGTTAAATCTTAAAAATACATTCAAGTACCTCAACTATTAATAAAAATGTATCTTATTTGTGTATCACTCGGCTCTAGATCCTCAAATCATCTCTGAATTGGTGCTGACACTGTCCTTCCTTCTGGAGGGTGGCTACTTTTATTCCCCATGGTCCCTGTGTGTTTTGTAAAGTAGCTACCGCTCCAAGCTCGCTCCTGTGATGAACTACAATCTCAATACAAATTAGTAGACTAAACATGAGATTGTAGTCCATCAAAGGAGCGAGCTTGGAGCGGTGACTACTTTACAACACACACAGGGACCATAGGGAACAGAAGTAGTCACCCTCCAGGAGGAAGGACAGTGTCAGCACCATTTCAGAGATGATTTGGGGAACTACAGCCGAGTGATACACAAATGAGATACATTTTTATTAATAGGTTACTTGAATGTATTTTTAAGATTTAACTTCTATGTTTAGTGTCACTTTTAGGATACAAGCATTGAAGTGTGTTATATCACACATAAGAATGGGCTGACAACACACCTGAACAAATACAGGAATTAGGAAGGCACAATTTTATTCCAATGCAGCACACCACAATACGCGGTAGTGCATTGTGGTGCTTTGCAGCACCGGTGCCTCGGGTTAATGCTTTGGGTTGCCATTTGACAATGAATGGCACAGCAATGATGTAACGTGTCAATGTGCATTGTGGTACTGCGTCATCACACCACACTGGAAAAGTGTAAATGGGCCTAAAACAGCCATGTATAGGTATGAAGCCAGTCTTTTGGCTCTTCTCTCTGCTCATCTTTATAATCAGCCTTACCAACACAGTTTCTGTGTCAATGTATAGCAGGGTCAGTGCTATAAAAATGAAGACCCGCTTTCAACCAGATTTCGATGTCTAACACGAATCCAAGTGATTGAGAGAACAAAAGGCAACCTATGATTTTGATCAACAAATTTCAGTAATTAAAAAAAAATGTAACTAGATTTATTAGATTGAAAAATAGTTAGGATTGAATCAAAAATGCGAACTCCATAAAGCAAACTGATAGAAAACAATCACATTTTCAGCTGTTTTTCATCTTGGTTGCCCAGCAGTTGATTGAATATAGTGAATCATGAATTTGATCAAATCAAAATTGAGATCAATCAGATTTTCATGTGTATGCCCAGCTTGTACCAGAGTATTGGGTGTTTTCCACCCACCCTGAGTTGTCCACACTTTTCCTTTTACATTCCCTTTAATATAAAATGAAAATATACAATCCAACAGGGATGGTGGGGGCCCCTGATAATGGGTACGGCAAGTGTGCAGACTCGGGAGCATAGCGATCTCACCAATAGAGTCCCTGAAAGATAGAAAAAAAACTGTCAACATTGTTAGTGTTGGGTGGACTCATCCTTTAATTGTGAGCATATGCACTCTTTAAACAGGTGTACGCGCAGCATGCTTGTTGTTTGAATGGACACGGCTGGTGAGGGCAGCAGCAAGAAGGGGAAACGTAGGAAAGATACAGGGAAGGCTCCAGCCAGGAGACGCCCGGCCCGGCCTCGGAAGCCCACTTCCGCCACTCGCCTCATCCAGCAGCTGCGTCAGATTGTGTTTCCTAGTCCTAATACGAAAGCCTCAAGGGTAGGTGGAGTCTAGGTAGTATCAGGTTAAAGACGATTAATATATCCTTAAAAACGTACTCTGTGTTACTCCACTCCTCCCTGCGCCCCTTCATGCACCAAATAAAAAAAAAAAAAATGTAAAGCATACATACTTTATTTCCAGGTGTCTGCCACTTGGTCATGTGACAGTGGCCCTTTTTTTCCAGCATCAGGTGATGTGCAGACTTGCTGCATAGAATGGCGTTCAGGTTGTGACATGTGAGAACTGCACTATGCAGCATTACACTGTGAGCGCAGGATGTGTGATAACACAAGCCAGGGGGGTTTGTCCATGACAGCTTGGGCTCACAGGAAGGGTTTGAATGAAGCTGGGCATTATTCACCCTGAAAACCAAAGGACATCTATAGAGCTGCAGCTAACAATTATTTTCAAAATCGATTAGTTAGCCGATTATTAGGTTCGATTAATCGGATAAACAATAAAATAAAGTTTAAAAAATGGCTCCAGTGATAGGACTACTAGTTTGTATTGAGGTTGTAGTCCATCACAAGAGCAAGCTAGGAGCAGTGGAAGTAAAAAAGAAAAAAGATAGAGTGGTGTGCAATATAGTGAAATGGAAAGTGTAAAATTATACAGCAATGAACGAGAATGGCACTGGCTATAGAGGACTACAAAACCCAGCAAAAGCACATTATACAGCGCAATGCAGAATACCGCCAGCTATATAAAAATGTATCTTATTTGTGTATCACTCGGCTCTAGATCCTCAAATCATCTCTGAATTGGTGCTGACACTGTCCTTCCTTCTGGAGGGTGGCTACTTTTATTCCCCATGGTCCCTGTGTGTTTTGTAAAGTAGCTACCGCTCCAAGCTCGCTCCTGTGATGAACTACAATCTCAATACAAATTAGTAGACTAAACATGAGATTGTAGTCCATCAAAGGAGCGAGCTTGGAGCGGTGACTACTTTACAACACACACAGGGACCATAGGGAACAGAAGTAGTCACCCTCCAGGAGGAAGGACAGTGTCAGCACCATTTCAGAGATGATTTGGGGAACTACAGCCGAGTGATACACAAATGAGATACATTTTTATTAATAGGTTACTTGAATGTATTTTTAAGATTTAACTTCTATGTTTAGTGTCACTTTTAGGATACAAGCATTGAAGTGTGTTATATCACACATAAGAATGGGCTGACAACACACCTGAACAAATACAGGAATTAGGAAGGCACAATTTTATTCCAATGCAGCACACCACAATACGCGGTAGTGCATTGTGGTGCTTTGCAGCACCGGTGCCTCGGGTTAATGCTTTGGGTTGCCATTTGACAATGAATGGCACAGCAATGATGTAACGTGTCAATGTGCATTGTGGTACTGCGTCATCACACCACACTGGAAAAGTGTAAATGGGCCTAAAACAGCCATGTATAGGTATGAAGCCAGTCTTTTGGCTCTTCTCTCTGCTCATCTTTATAATCAGCCTTACCAACACAGTTTCTGTGTCAATGTATAGCAGGGTCAGTGCTATAAAAATGAAGACCCGCTTTCAACCAGATTTCGATGTCTAACACGAATCCAAGTGATTGAGAGAACAAAAGGCAACCTATGATTTTGATCAACAAATTTCAGTAATTAAAAAAAAATGTAACTAGATTTATTAGATTGAAAAATAGTTAGGATTGAATCAAAAATGCGAACTCCATAAAGCAAACTGATAGAAAACAATCACATTTTCAGCTGTTTTTCATCTTGGTTGCCCAGCAGTTGATTGAATATAGTGAATCATGAATTTGATCAAATCAAAATTGAGATCAATCAGATTTTCATGTGTATGCCCAGCTTGTACCAGAGTATTGGGTGTTTTCCACCCACCCTGAGTTGTCCACACTTTTCCTTTTACATTCCCTTTAATATAAAATGAAAATATACAATCCAACAGGGATGGTGGGGGCCCCTGATAATGGGTACGGCAAGTGTGCAGACTCGGGAGCATAGCGATCTCACCAATAGAGTCCCTGAAAGATAGAAAAAAAACTGTCAACATTGTTAGTGTTGGGTGGACTCATCCTTTAATTGTGAGCATATGCACTCTTTAAACAGGTGTACGCGCAGCATGCTTGTTGTTTGAATGGACACGGCTGGTGAGGGCAGCAGCAAGAAGGGGAAACGTAGGAAAGATACAGGGAAGGCTCCAGCCAGGAGACGCCCGGCCCGGCCTCGGAAGCCCACTTCCGCCACTCGCCTCATCCAGCAGCTGCGTCAGATTGTGTTTCCTAGTCCTAATACGAAAGCCTCAAGGGTAGGTGGAGTCTAGGTAGTATCAGGTTAAAGACGATTAATATATCCTTAAAAACGTACTCTGTGTTACTCCACTCCTCCCTGCGCCCCTTCATGCACCAAATAAAAAAAAAAAAAATGTAAAGCATACATACTTTATTTCCAGGTGTCTGCCACTTGGTCATGTGACAGTGGCCCTTTTTTTCCAGCATCAGGTGATGTGCAGACTTGCTGCATAGAATGGCGTTCAGGTTGTGACATGTGAGAACTGCACTATGCAGCATTACACTGTGAGCGCAGGATGTGTGATAACACAAGCCAGGGGGGTTTGTCCATGACAGCTTGGGCTCACAGGAAGGGTTTGAATGAAGCTGGGCATTATTCACCCTGAAAACCAAAGGACATCTATAGAGCTGCAGCTAACAATTATTTTCAAAATCGATTAGTTAGCCGATTATTAGGTTCGATTAATCGGATAAACAATAAAATAAAGTTTAAAAAATGGCTCCAGTGATAGGACTACTAGTTTGTATTGAGGTTGTAGTCCATCACAAGAGCAAGCTAGGAGCAGTGGAAGTAAAAAAGAAAAAAGATAGAGTGGTGTGCAATATAGTGAAATGGAAAGTGTAAAATTATACAGCAATGAACGAGAATGGCACTGGCTATAGAGGACTACAAAACCCAGCAAAAGCACATTATACAGCGCAATGCAGAATACCGCCAGCTATAGAGGAATACAACAAATCGCAGCAATAGTACAGTGGGGAGGAGATGCTGCGCACAGCGTGTGGAGCTGTGAACAGGGCCAACTGATCGGAAGCCGATTAATCGATTATTGAAAAAGTTGACAACTTTTTCTATAATCGATTATGTCGATTAGTTGTTGCAGCCCTAGACATCTAGTGGTAGAAAGAAATGACTGCAGGGGAGGGGGCAGTGCCGGAGAGAAGGTAAGTATTGTAGGCAGGGCTACTTTTTTGCCATCCCATACTTCTGGAGGACTATCTAAAAACAAAAGTTGGGCTTTAAAGCAAATCTGTATTTTATTTTTTTTTGTCATCCATTGTGGGTCACAGAAATTCAGAAACAGTCGGGTAATACTGCTACCTTTAGGAGGTTGAGACACTAGCAAGCAGAAAAGTTATAACCCCTCCTCTAGCCAGATTGTCTCAGTTTTTTGCTTGGAGGTTGGACGCCTCTGCGGAAAGAAAGTCTAATTATTGCTTGTGGATTTTATTCTTTCGGTGACTTCAATCGACATTCTTTGCTACACTGCTGCTTAAGCTGGTCTCTGTATAGCGGCTATCTAAATCATCATTTCCCGTACCCGGACCCCGCTGAGCTGGACATGTGGGTCTAGCCTGTAATGTGGGCTTTGCGTTGTAGTGTGTTCCAGGAATTTGTGTTAGGTAGCCAAGAAGCAATTTCTGGGTCCAGAGCCATGGCATAGCGCAAGGTGTGACCTAGGGCTGCAACAACTAATCGACATAATCGATTATTGAAAAAGTTGTCAACTTTTTCAATCATTGATTAATCGGCTTCTGATTGGTTGGCCCTGTTAACAGCTTCACACACGCTCCGCGCCACACCTCCTCCCCACCTCGCGCTCGCCGCTGCCAGACCTGCCCGCATCCACGCTCCCCGCCCGCCCAAATCCACGATCGGCACAGGGACGCAGGGAGAAGAAGTAAGGAGGAGCAGGTGTGGGTGGATGACAGCCGCCGATAGACAGGCCCGATCTCAGAAACAAGTTGCTGGAAGACTGCTCAGGTAAGCCTGCACTTTCCCCCACATGGTGCTCTATAATGTATTGCTGGGATTTGTATTCCTCTATAGCTGATGGTACATTGTGCTGTATATTATACAGAGGACTACAAATCCCAGCAATACATTGTACACTGTATGTATAATGTATTGCTGGGATTTATTGTACTCCTATATCGCTGATGGTATTCTGCATTGCGCTGTATAGAGGACTACAAATCAAGGAATACCACCAGCTATAGAGGAGTACAACAAATCCCAGCAATAGTACATTATACAGCGGTGCAATGCTGAATACCACTAGCTATATAGGACTACAAAACCCAGCAATAGTACATTATACAGCGCAATGCAGAATACCGCCAGCTATAATGTACTATTGCTGGGATTTGTTGTATGCCTCTATAGCTGGTGGTATTCTGCGTTGTGCTGTATAACGTACTATTGCTGGGATTTGTATTCCTCTGTAACCGGTGCCATTCTGCAGTCATTGCTGTATAATTTTACACTTTTCATTCCACTATATTGCACACCACACTTTTTATTTTATTTTTTACTTCCGCCGCTCCAAGCTTCCTCCTGTGATGGACTGCAATCTCAATACAAACTAGAAGTCCATCACTGGAGCCAATTTTTAAAATGTATTTTATTTTATTTTTTATCCGAGTAATCGAACTTAATAATCGGCTAACTAATCGATTTTGAAAATAATCGTTAGCTGCAGCTCTAGTGTGACCCTCTCTCCAAAGACTTGCTTAGTGAATAAGGCTGTTCTGGCTGAAGCGCAGGGAGCTACCACCACTGACCCTTATCAAATGTCCCATCACTGCAGTAAGGGTTGAGGCTCAGGGAATGGGATTCTAGGTGGAGTGCTGCACTCACACTCACTCAGGAGTGCTCTCTTTCCCACCATTTAGCCTAGGGAAAGCACCATCCCATTGCTGCCCCTGAAATACCAGATGTGCACCATTCTGATGTTGTGGTACATCTTCATGCCTGCCTAACCTTGTAGGGTTACCTCTTGTGCACCCTACCTACCTAATTCAGAGAGGCTGACTTCATAGGGTTGCTACCAGTCTCAGGGGTGTTTTGGCTATCCCCTTGAGATATCACACTGTGAGACTTCTCACGTGTTGTTTTTTTTTAAATTATATATATATATCTCGCGGTGAGATGTGGTTGTCTGGCCAAGCAACCTTATTCATATTCTGGAACCTTCTTTCCCTGAATCCCAAGAGTGGGAAGGCTTGGTCCTTTTGCTGGCCTTATTCTGTGGACCTCTTCTTCTTTTTTTGTCCAATATTATCTCTGGGGACCTGTTTTTTCCCAGCGTTTTTGGTTGGTCCTATCAAGTTGTTTGATCTACTCTTCCTTATCAGGCAAATATGTTGTTCCAACTGGTTTGCTGTTTTTTTTAGTTCACAGCCTCTGGGCTCAGTGCCCCTTTTGGATTGGAGCCATTCCCCATGGCGGTGATCCTCTCTGTCCTAGTCTGAGCATCAGGTTGATCCTCTGTGGCCTTCCCTTGGTTGTTGGTAGACTCTTCTGTCTTGCAGGGGACTTCACCTCACCTGGTTCAGATTCTTGTGTTGGACTTTCTGGCTGTCCTATTTCAGACCGTTCCAAGTCTCTTCTTGTATCAGTGACTGTTACCCACCCCTCAGTTGGACTGCTTTTGGATGTTGCCACAGTTTCTGAATTTCTGTGTCCCTCAATGGACAATAAAGAAAACTGTTGTACTTAAGTCAGAAGAAATAATTGTATAATAATAATAGCCCGTTGATGGGAACAGGTCCCACACCACTGTTTTGTTGTTTTTTCTGGTCCCTGTGTATTGCTTTCTCACAAACCCGAGGCACGTTTGGTAGAGGAGGGGTTTAACAGGAGCTCGCTTACAACTTTTCTGGTTGCCAGTGTCCCAACCTCTTGAAGGTGGCAGTATAACCCAACTGTTTCTCGATTCCTGTGTCCCTTAATGGACTCATTCAAAAAATGTTTACGGTAAGTACGAAAATTTTATTTTTTCCCAGAGCAGGGAAACTGCAACAAGTTCACTTTAAAGGCGAACCCACCAACAGCCTATACTCAACTTTTGATTCCCTGCTGCTTTAGTATTTTTAGGTATAGGGAGCATGTGACTTATTGCTCTTCCAAGTCCTAAAAAGGCAACTTACACAGGCACCTGCAATGCACACCATCGGTAAGGTGTGTTGGGGTGCATTGCTGTAATATGTGCATTACCGGAGTGCAATAGTGTAAATGGGGCCTACATGTCTGTAGATGCAAAAGCAGCTAGAGGAAAGTCAGAAAGGCAACACAAAAGTATACCGTTTTTGATTTGGGTCTGAGTAGGATGCCCATATAACTGAGCATTTCTACACAGTCTGCTGTATTTTCATTTTTTTTGTAAAAAGATTCTAGATTCCCATTAAAGGAAATCTTCCAGCTTGGAAAGACTGATAACGTGATTCTGTCCTAGCTTGCTTGTTAACTGTCTCTTGTTTTTTAGCGTCAGGTGTTGCATCAGACCAGAACCTACATCCAGGAGCTTGAAAACACACTGGATTCCCTGCTGAAGATGAGAGGTGGGAAGTTGTCTTAACTCAAACAGGTTTAATGGCTAAAGACAGGATCCATTTACACTTGACGATTACTCTCTGAAGAAAACGCAGCAATAAAAAGCATTGTGGTCATCATTGTTTAACTGTGTCTGCTTTTTGTATTTGGGTCTGAGTGGAAAAAAGCTTGTCCATGACAATATTCTGCTTCTATATTTAGTGGTTAGCCATTACGCATAATGGAGTCCAGTTAAACAGTACCCCTATCCATAGTCCTACACGTCCTGCCCCTGTGTGGTAAGGCTGCTTCGTCATAAAAGTTCATTGAGCAAGTGTTGTCACCCAAAGACAGGAAGTGTGTTGCTGACCACCTCACTAAGTGAATATAAAAACCTGACAAATGAAAACGAATGCAGTCACAACATCCAAGTACTGGTAAGCTGCAATATATTATATTTTGTTCTTGGGTTTGCATACACTTTAAGATATGTTAAACCTTCCCAAACTGGAGCTGGGTGCTCTAAAGGCTTCAGACCTGCTTGAAGCTTGCTGTACACACTGTTCTTGTACAAGGCCTATGAATGCTTGCAGTGATTTTACTGATTTACACGGGGTCACATGGGTTTACCTGCATCTGTCTATAGGTGCCCATACACCTTACAATTATCTGCAGATTTTCTGTGGTCAGATGGAAAGAGTGCAACAGATTGGCCCAGGTGGGAGATTTATCCATCCACACAGTTTAGCGTAGATGGAGGAATCTGTTGCACTTTTTCCATCTGACCACTGAAAGTCTGCAGATAATCTATAGGTGTATGGCCAGCTTTAGTCAGCTTTAACAATACCAGATGCAACCTAAGTGTAGGCATTTTTAATTCTTTACTGAATCCATAGCGTCCGACTCCATGCAGCTTTTTGTAACAGTGTTGCAAATTTAAATAGATGACTGACGATTTGCACTGCTGGTTAGTTGACAGTGAAAGTGTCTTAAGCTGGCTACACACTGAGTGAATTGTGGCCGATTCAGTAGGAATCAGCTGTAATTGATCTGTTGGTGACCCTATTCCCTTGACAGAAGTCGATCATTAGAACATGTTGTAAAATCATCGGGCAAACGGTACTTGTAGCCAGTCAGCTGCAAGCACTGTTTGGGTATTCTGACAGTGGCCGGCATTGCTGTCAGAATACAAAGCACACCGCGGGAGATTCATTCATTCTCACTGTTTAGTGTGGGTGGAGGAATCTAATATTTGTTATTCAGGCTGAACAAAAAAATGTAACCATGTGTACCCTTCTCTAGTCTGTTTGCTTGTGGTGGTGAAGTGGAATAAGCTTTTCTTTTGTAGACTGGATGTAATGAGAAAAATTTGAATTCTCGCCTTTCCAATTCTTTGTAATGTTCCCTGGCAGGTCACTTTAAGGTGCTGGATAGTGGCTCCAGCAGTCTGGAGGACGTCAAGGAGGAATACATGCAGATGCATTTTGTTCAAGAGCAAGGGTATGAAATCACATTATTAGTGGAACCCAAAAGTCTGCTTGGTGACAAGTTTCCTTCCTCTTGCCTCCTGCAGCAGTGGGTGGGGACCCTCTTCTCCTCTTTTTCTAAATACCTGGCTGATTTCCAGAACAATGAGGAACAACAAAAGTTATGTACATTTCACCCAAGCAGACTGCTGTCCAGGGTTCCCCACCTGCAGCTCTTACAGGAGAGAACCTGAGGCAGGAAAATACCAGGCAAACTTCATATTTACCGTCTCATTTGTTTGTACTTCAAGCCATTGCCCGTTAAATAGACTTTGACTTCCTCACTTTTCCTCCTACAGTATATGGCTACTCTTACCTATGAAATTTTTGCCCTAGGGGATAAGTACATGGTACCCCATCCCAGATTGTATACGACAACACTATACACAAAATATATATATATATAATTACACAGGGCTTGAAAAATTTGATGGTGTCTCACCAGTCAGTCAAAAATTTCACCAGTCAGCATGACTGGACTATAGCATTGCAATTTATGTTAAAAAAAATTTGGGGACAGATGGAGCTTTCTTTTGGAGGTATATAATCACCACTGAGGAGGGGTTATTTTTTTTAACTATATAATGAAAAAAGTGCCATAAATGTTAAAAAAGTTTCCCTACGTTATGTTATAAAACATTTATTCTTACCCATATTTTTAGATTTGGAGCGGAGGGGGGGAATCCAGTCCCTCCCCTGTCACGGCTCTGTGCCGTGACAAGATCGAGAAGTGAGCGAACGCCGGTATATGTTCGCTCACCTCCCGATCTACTGAGCCGACCTGTGACAGTCTCATTCTCACAGGTCGGCTAGAACTATGAGGTGAGTGAAAAGCACCTTTTAGGCTGGGTTCCCACCTAGGTGATCGAATTATGCCACACGTTTTTACCCCGATTTGTGGTCCACGAAACGCGCATTGGATATGCACGGAAATACGCCCCAAAGAAGCTCCTGTACTTCTTTGGGCGTTTTTCAGCGCATTCCGACGCGTTGAAATATGCCCAGGTGGGAACCATGCCCATAGGAAATAATGGGATTTCACTTGCTGGGCGTTTTACAGCGCGTCGATCAGCACTGTAAAACGCCCAGGTGTGAACCCGGCATACTCTTTGGCCCGGGTATTGCCCCTCTGGTTTTAGCAGTGGTACTGGTCTTACTGGCTCCTGGTTGGCACATGTATGACCTTGAATACTCCTGATGAAGTGGAGTAATCTCTGGGAAACGAGTAGCGTACAATCTATCCAAAGATCACTCCGGTTCTTCTCTTTGTAATGCACTATATACGCATGAAGAATGGTTTTGACATGCATCCGTATTTCTGTCCATCAGAGTTGGATATTTCAGGGTGATAACAAGTTTGTTATATGTTAGAGCCAGCACCTTCAAGCATCACATTTATGTATTTTATATGCTGTTTTGATTTGTTTATATGTGAATAAAGATGACACATGTTTTACATGATTCATTGTTGATTGCTCATGTGGGTACCTGAAAAGTCCGTCTTTTGTATATCATGTTGTTGTATATGGCTACTCTTGTAAAACTGCCCCTTCCTTTCTTGACCAGTGGTCATTGATCCCCAGGCAAAATTTAGAAACATCAACATGTGTTGATTAACTTGACCGTATGGCTCATTAATATTCCTAAAATAACTTTTAGATTTTTTTGAGGATATACAGGCTTTTATTTGGAAACGATGTAAAAATTAGGTTTAAAGTTTTTTAAATGAATTTTAGTTTTCTTTCTCGTTGATTGAGGGACACGGAAGTCTTTCACCTTTTGGGTTATACTGCTAATTACAGGAGGCTTGGACACTGGTAAACAAACTATAGGCCAGCCTAGGATAACCCTTTCTACTGCCTGCCATCTTATCTCTTAATTAACATCCTGCCTCTTCGGGCAAGTTGGCTCACATCAACCATCAGGGTTGCTTTGGACTGGCCCAGGTGGATGTGGTACACTGACCTGCTAAGACTCCTGGTGGACATTCCATGGGCTCTGTCCCATTGTCCGGATCTTCTGTCTCAAGTACCCATTCCTGCTATGTTAAAAGCTGAGAAGCCTACCTCTCATAAGGTCTAACATCCGATGTGGAAAACGAACTACTTGGTGTGAGTTTTGGGGCTTCCACCCCAGAAATGTCAATGTAGGACATCTCTCTTTCCTAATGCTGGGTCTGTTCCAGACTCTCAATACTAGAGGTTTCTGTCTTGTTTCAGAGACTGTTGTCCTCTCACTCAGTGATTTAGACCTTTCTACAGGGAGTCTCCCATTTAGGTCCCCCCGCTTTTTCCTCTGTGTTTCCCTGAGATACAATTCTGGTTCTCTTTGTGGTTCAGAAACCCCCTTTTGAGTCCATTAGAGACATTCCTCACCCTCAAGGTAGTACTCCTTGTAGGCATCCCATCTGCAACGCAAATATCTACCGTAAATTGGTAGCCTTATCCTGCAGGGAAGTTTTTTTGGTTTTGGATAAGGACAAGGTGGTTTAGGTAGTTTCTGCATTTCAAGTCAACCGAGACATTGTTCTTCCATCCCTATCTCCGGCTTCAGTTGACCAAAAGTAAATTTCCCTCCACTGCTTGTATGTGGTTTGGGCTGTGAGGGCCTATCTTTCAGCCACGGCTTCTTCAGAAAGACAGATTCTCTGTTTTTTTTTTTCAAATGGTGCCCATAAGAGTGCACTGGCTTCTTGTTCCACCATCACCAGACAGACAAACATCCAAGTTGTAAGGATCAAGCCTTTCCTTTCAAGGTGCACTCTGCTAGATCTGTGAGAACTTCTTGACCTTTTCAGCATCAAACAGTTTCCCAGATTTGCTGGGCTGCCACATGGTCTTCTGTTCACACATTCTTTTAGATTCTACCAGGTAGACGTTGCAACCTCATCTGATGGCAGCTTCAGGTGTAAGATCCTTCAGGTAGTGCTTTAAGCTGCCGGCAATCCTGTTATTGTTTGGTTTTTTGTTTTGTTACGCCCGTGTTGCTCACCCAGCAATGGGATTACTTTTTGAGGTACTTGAAGATGAAAGAATTCCCGTGTCCCTTAATGGAAGAGAGAAAAAATAGGATTTTCGTACTCACTGTAAAATCCTTTTCTTGCAGTCCTTTTGAGAGTCATAGGCCCCTCCCCATCGTGTTGTCTTGATCATGCTCGCTGTACTGCTTTACTACAAAATTGAGGCATGCTTGTAGTAGGAGGGGCTATCCTGGGCTGGCCTGCTGTTTTCTGTTTGACAATGTCTGTCTAATCCTCCTGTAAGCACCAGTATAACCTAAAGGTTAAAGACTTTCTGCTTCTCTTAACGAACTCCCAGAATAGGACTTTACAGTGAGTACAAGAATCCAGTTGTGCGCTCCTTCCTTCTTTTTTTTTTTTCATCATGTGATTGTTAAGAAATCTGACTTTATTTTTTAGTGGTCAGTAACAGACATGATTCAGCACCCAGAGTGTTGGCTCAGAAAGGGATTAAAAAATAATGTACATTAGGAAGTTATTTTGCTGAGTCTCTCATTGTCTGTAATACCTGCTGTTTAACTATTAGGGGCATTCTTCCCAACACTGCGGTGGCATCTGACAGTGAGCCTATGTATTGGCATCTCCAGTCGGATTTAGAAGTGGGACTGGGAGAAGCGGTGGAAGAATTGATAATTGACTCGCAGATCCCGGAGCCCCCATCTTCTCCAGATCTTATTGAATTCGAAAGGTAAAATTTCTCTAAAATATGTCAAAATTAGTGCTAGGTGGAAGGTTCTACCTTCCCAGTCACTTGATCAGTCCCAGTGTTCTAAGAAGCAGCACATGCCCACCACCCCTTTGGACATACAACTTCTATACCAACCATTTAAGTACTCCTTGTAGCCATCCCTTGAGTGCAGTAGATCTACTGATATTGCTGAGGAAGGACAGTAGATCTACTGATATTGCTGAGGAAGGGCAGTAAATCTACTGATATTGCTGAGGAAGGGCATTAAATCTAATGATATTGGTGAGGGGAATTAAATCTAATGATATTGCTTAGGAAGGGCAATACATCTAATGCTATTGCTGAGGAAGGGCTGTAAATATAATGATATTGCTGAGGAAGGGCAGTAAATCTAATGATATTGCTGAGGAAGGGCAGTAAATCTACTGATATTGCTGAGGAAGGGCAGTAATCTACTGATATTGCTGGGGTTGCCCTAGGCTAGGCAACTGGCTGCCTGTATTTGAAGCTTAATGTGAACCTGTGTCCAGACTATGGACCTGCAGGTATTCGCCTTGTTCCCTGTCCCAGAGCACCTGCTCTTTATCTACATCAGAAATAGGAAGGCTGCTGAATCACTACTGGTAGGGAAGGAAGGGTGAACTGCGTTGCTGGGAGGAGGAGCTAAGCTGTTGAGTCAACAGTATACGGCGAGCATCAGCTCACGTTATACTGAGACGCCGCAGCCGGGACGGATCCCGACATTACTGTTGAGATCCACCCAGCTGCGGGATTGACAGCTGGCTCTGCCTATCTAGAGGAAGAGCCAGCTATGCCTGCCCCCTGTCCGTTCCGCCAGTCAGCGCTGGAGGATCGGACAGGGAAGGGGGAATCCCTGCAGGGATAGATGGAGAAGTGAGAGAGCGACGCTATGTGTTCGCTCACTTCCCGATCTACTGAGCCGACCTGTGACAGTTTCATTGTCACAGGTCGGCTCAGATTATGAGGCTGAATGATTTTTCACTCGCCTCATAGTTCTCCTTTTAAGGCTTATTTGCTGCTTTGTTAAGGCTGACTAAATTCTTGAATGTCTATAGTCAAGTTTATTTTTAGCTCCATGCAAACTTGGGAGAGTCAGTGAGCCAATCACAGAAGCATGGGGATTCTGGAAAATGTTAGGGTTAGCTTACTTTCAATGCTGGCCATACATGGGGAAGATTTCATGCAGTGTTGACCACATTGCCTTGATCCATATGAATGTTTTTGTGATCAAGTGGTTAAAATTCCTGAAAAATGTCCTCTGTGTCAGCCTTAGACGGTAAGGATGATAGCTGCACAGGTCAATTGTTTTGAAACCCCCTCACACAGAATTGCTGTGCCAGTCTGCAACTCCAAAAGCTATGACAAAGCTTTTTTGTTATGTCAATCGTCTGATGAGGATAACTCTGCTTCCATCACAGGTACCTGTATTTCTATAGGCAGACAATGGATATGCTGACAGAGAGCCATGTGGTTTCCCCAGAGCAGATTGCAGAACCCGTGGTGTCCAAAGCTATCGCTAACTTGTGGCAAGATCTTAAGCGGGAAGGTGATGCCAGTATCTGTCATTATGGTGTCCCCCAGGCTCAGAGTACACCCTGCTTCTTCACATTACCATCTGACTCAGGCTGCACTGACGGATGTGCAAAAGACAACTCGACAGGGAGCCAAGAGGCCTCGAGCTCCTTCCTGTCCTCTACCCCAGAAGAGGTAAGTTACATCATCCTTATAATCTTGCAGTGATGTGTCCTGGCAGTTGTAGTGACTTTATTTTGTGAGAGTTTAAAGGGGATTATTTCAGATCTGTGTATGTCATTATATAATGTATTATAAACAATAGACTTTTTTAAATTACATATGGGGGTTTTACCTTCTTTTTTTTTTTTTTTTTTTTTTTTTTTTTCTTTTTTTTCTTCTCGGTGCTTTTTTTCTCATGGATATGCTGACAGAGAGCCATGTGGTTTCCCCAGAGCAGATTGCAGAACCCGTGGTGTCCAAAGCTATCGCTAACTTGTGGCAAGATCTTAAGCGGGAAGGTGATGCCAGTATCTGTCATTATGGTGTCCCCCAGGCTCAGAGTACACCCTGCTTCTTCACATTACCATCTGACTCAGGCTGCACTGACGGATGTGCAAAAGACAACTCGACAGGGAGCCAAGAGGCCTCGAGCTCCTTCCTGTCCTCTACCCCAGAAGAGGTAAGTTACATCATCCTTATAATCTTGCAGTGATGTGTCCTGGCAGTTGTAGTGACTTTATTTTGTGAGAGTTTAAAGGGGATTATTTCAGATCTGTGTATGTCATTATATAATGTATTATAAACAATAGACTTTTTTAAATTACATATGGGGGTTTTACCTTCTTTTTTTTTTTTTTTTTTTTTACACTTTGTTGCATCTCAGTGCTGCTGATCTCCTGCAGCCTTTTTTGCCCCAATTCCGGTCTACACTCCAGTGATGGCTGCATGACATTTCTCAAAGCGGGTATCCTGATGTTGACAACAGTGGACCATTAGCATACACCGATACCAAGTACAGTACTCGGTACATGTACAGATACTTTTCGCGCTCCAAGACTAGACTAGAGAAAAATTCCAAAGTTAGGCGGCTGCTGTCATTAGTAAGGAGCACACGGAGCTCCTGGGATTTGTACATCTCTGTTTTAATGTATGATAATGTTTTTATAAATAAAGGGATGCACCAATACTAGTTTTGCAAGTACAAGTACTGATACTCGCCCAAGTACTCACAGATACAAGTACTGATACATTTTTACCGATGTATATCCCTATTAAGGTGTTTAGTAGTATCCAACCATTTAGTGGAGCCATCTTGAACGTCACTTTCTTTATTTTCTGGCACCAGATTCTGTTTGAAGATGCTTTTGATGTGGCTGCAGGTTTCCTGGACCCTGGGGCTTTCCACAGCACTTCCAGCCCCAGGTATAGAACCTATATAGTTTGCCTTTTATGTTTGTTTTTCTGTTAGATGTAATTTAGTTGCCTTTAAAGGGCCTTTTTTTGTTCTGGAAATGTTTGCCAAAAAAATTGTAAAGTGTCACACAAAGGGTGACATCAGTTTTCAGAGCCTGCAGGTCTATGGGCTCTGTGCCCCGCCTAAGCAGGAAAAATCCCCTTTTCAGTATATTTGCTATCATGCCTCACTGTATACAGTTTTGTTATTTATTTTTTTTGTTAATGTGTTGCAAATGTTTTACCTGGAAATTCTGCCAGTAATAGCACTTCCTGTTGCAGGCTGGCAATGCTTTTGTTGCCTATCAGGTCTGCAGGAGGCATGGGCCGACCTGATGGGCAGACCAAAAGCTAACTGAAGCAACACGCATACCAGACTGACAACAGGAATTTCTGTTACTGGCAGGATCGTACAGATTCACAAAACTGGATGTTTGTCACGATGCCAAACGTACTGAAAAATAGGTCCATGGTTTCCATACACTTTAATGAGTCGAAGACAATATGCAGATTGCAGACACACGTAGAAGCCAATTACAAATAATTGTCACTGCTCTGAAATCTCATTGCTGTTATTACACATTTCATTTGTTGCTCTTTGCTCTGTCCTATCACACGTGTATCACGCCTGTATAACTTTTTTTGCCTTTCCGAAGCTGTTCACGTGTACCATCCCCTTGTGAAAGCCCTGAAGGAAATCATTCTCTGTACCAGCAAATATATGACTTTCTGAGGTCCAGCTTGTCATCTTACACCCAGGTACAAAAATGATTCTAAGTTTTATATACCTTTACTGGTAAAGTGTGGGGGGGTTTTTTTAGATTTTATTTTGCATTTCTTTAAATATTTACAATTGTATAAATGTTTTTGTTTTTCAATTATTTGTATGTAGTTTTTATCTTACAGGTAAACATTTATTTCCATGCTTGGCTCTCCTTATAAGTAAAAACTACATACAACATCCATCCATCGAAGGACACGGGAAGTCTAAAACCATAAAGTTATACTGCAGCAGGAGGACTGGACACTTACAAACAAGAATAAGCTATAGGCCAGTCCAGGGTACAACCTTCCCCTACTACCATCATGCTCCAGATTTTTCCCAGTGCTCTAAAGCAGTGGTTCTCAACTCGTGGGTCGCGACCCAAAAGTGGGTCGCGACACAGGGTTGAGAACCACTGCTCTAAAGGATAGACGTCTTTTCGTCAGCACTGCTGCTGTTAAGACTATCCTTTGACTTATTTCATTATGATCCATTTAGGTACACAGTAAGTCTTTAACCTTCAGGTTCTACTGCTGCCTACAGGAGGATTGGACATACAAACAAAAAAACTTCTGTGTCCTACGAAGAAATGCCGTTATTCTTCAGTTCTGCTGTGTTAAAGACCAACCTAGCACCTTTTCTACTTTGATTTTTATTTTCCCTAATCAAGACTCTTCTCTGCATTGCTGCTGGAGCAGTCATCCTCAGCCCGGCTTTTTGGAGTACCGTATCCAGACCCTGCTGGAATGGACATTGCAGGAATAGCCTGGGAAATACCTTCAGTCACTGGGTTCCATGTTAGAGCTGAGCTCCAGGTCCAGAAACACTGGCACTGCTGCTGTGCTTGTCCTGTCTCTGAAGACACACTTAGTGAGTAGGTCGGTCGGCGCTGAGCGTCGGGACATTTCTCATTTTTATTGGTCACTGGGAGACATGTTTCGCAGTTTCCTGCTGATTTTGCAGTGGATGGGGTTAATGCTGTGGGACTAACAACTGTTGTCATTTGCTGCTGCTCCTGCTTGCAAAGTGGCACATGATCTTTCATCCATTCTGCTGCCTGCCTACAATGACTTTGGTCATTTCCAGCCATCTGATCCTTGGGTCACTGACCCTCACCTGCTTACCCTGAGCCTATACGTTGCCTAACCACACTGCAGCCTCAACATGTCTGATTCTATACACTTTTTCACTATGGAGATTGCACACACCCTAAAAAGTTGTTTGATTCCCCTCTAAACACTTACTGGCTTCTGTCTGTTTTGTGAGGATTTTGTTCTGAAATGGCGTATTCCCACAGCAGATCCGCCCATGTCTCACCTTAACAAGGCGACTACCATACTGGTTGAGGATTCACCTGAAACTTTTCCTCACTTTCTCTTCTTCAAGATTGAGGTCAAGGGCATTCTGCAGACCCTGTTTGCTTCTGAATGGCCTTGATGGATATGGTAGGCTGACCTGGTATGACTTCTAGCAGAGTCTCTTTGGACCCTGCCAGACTGTATAGATCTACTGAACTATCTTTTTATCAAACAATTCATCCCCACACAGCCACCTCCTCATGTATCACTTTCCCCTCCCTCTTAGATAGTAAGCCATCATGGGCAGAGCCCTCCTTACCATTATGTCTTGAATTGTATTGTAATTATAATGTCTTCCCTATGTTGTAGTGCTGTTGGCACTATATAAATCCTGTATAAAATTAATACTGATTTTCCATCCTTCTTCACTGTCGCTGGCTTTACTGGCATGGTTGTTTAAACCCATCTTGCACAATGAGACCTGATACGAGTCAGGGAAGTTACTCAGCTGACTTGGAAGTGATCCACATGTGTTCCACAAGACACTAGCAGGATCAAATCCTTTTTCTTGTACAAAGGACTTCTGATGAATGAATCCAGAATTCTCTGGAATACAAAGCACAACCACACATCCTGTGAAGCACAAGCAAAGCCTCTTCAAAAGCAGAGATGACCTCTCGGGTAATGACAGCTTTGATTGGCAGTCTTCACAATGTTGTACCTGATAAATCCATCACCTTTCCTTTGCTGCAGCGGCTTGCATACATATCTGTGGGCCTTCAGAGCACCCCTTCTTTTACAGAGGGATATTTACATTTCATGAAGTCCCCCTACCTGTCTTTAAAGATGCAAAGGGTGGGGAAGGAGGTTTTTGTTTTTTTATTGCTGCCTATGTTCCTTTTGGGGAGATTTCACATCAGGTCAGTAAGTCATGGCTAATATTGTAAACGAGGACACAGACAAAAACCCATTTTTAGTAGACTGCGGAAGGGTTAGAGGGCCGGAACACACTTTTTGGCCGTAATAGCGGTGCATCCATGATTTCCCTCCTCCCCGCTGGGTGCTGCTCTGTGCCCCAGCAGGGAGGAAAGAAACCTCACAGGAGGCCGAGCGCTGTGGGAGGGGAGCGTTGTGAGCGGTTGGCGTCTCCCTCCCGCACCACTCAGCCTCCTGTCACAAATCGGGAGAGCGGTGTGTGGGCAGAGACAGCCAGCCCTGTCACATGAGGCTAAGCTCCACTCGCTCAGCCTCCTGTGACAGCGTGTCAGGAAGGAGATTGGTACAAACACTTGGTAATCAGTGATCGCTGAGTGTTTGTAAATAATTGAGGACAGAGTATATTTACTATATCCCCAATTATGAATGAATGGGAAGTGATCTACATCACCTCCTGTTCATTCATGATTGTGGTTATAGTAAACATACAATGTTCTCAAGTTATGAATGAACAAGAGCACTCAGTATAGAGGATTCCTGTTCATTCATAACAGGGGCTGCAGAGAAAAAAGATTGAGGACTCTGTGTCCTCAATCTCTTTTTTATTTTAAACTTCCCCGAAGCCCCTAAAAGTAAAAAATTAAAATATTTTTAAAACATTTGAAAAAGTTAGAATAAAACAACATTTTCGGTTTCGGGCTGACCGAACTTTTTCATTTTGGCTTTGAATTTTTCATCTCGGTGTACCTCTAGTTTTAAAGGAGAACTATGGAGTTAGGGCTTTTCCCCATAGTTCTCCTTAGGGTAACGGGAGGACACAAACTAGCGTCCTCCCTCACCCAAGCTCAGTATACCGCGAGCTGCTGCTCGCGGTATAAAAGACGCTGAAGTGGATCCCGACAATTATGTCTAGATCCGCCCAGCTGCGTGACTGACAGCTGGCTCTGCCTATCCAGAGGCAGAGCCAGCTGTACCCACCCCTCCCCCGTCCGTTCCGCCAGTCAGCGCTATCGGAGCGGGGAGGGGGGAATCCAACCCCTCCCGTGTTACGGCAGAGAGCCGTGACAGGATAGAGAGGTGAGCGAACGCCCGTATGTGTTCGCTCACCTCCTGATCTACTGAGCCGACCTGTGACAGTCTCATTGTCACAGGTCAGCTAGAACTATGAGGTGAGTGAAAAGCACTTACCTCATAGTTTTCCTTTAACCATTCCACACTCTATCCAAAACTAAAAAATACAAAATTCGCTGGAGGTCTTATCCAGTTGCAGTAAGGCGTGGTAGAAAACATGCGCACCACCTGAGAGTTGCAGTGCCATTCATTTTGAATGCTGTTCCAGCACATATTAAGACAGTTGATAACATGCAGCGGAAGTCCCTTGTCAGCTACTGCTGCCTACAACAAGGAACCGGCCATTTGTTGTGCGTTGCATTAAAAATAAAGGGTCATGCAATTTTTTCATAATGAATTGATTGCCATAACTCGATGCATGTTAACAACACACATGCAGTAATGCACCACAATGGACTGCACAGGACTGGATTCAGCCTTAGGATGTTTAAGATGCATTATTGCTGGAGTGGAGTTGCCTTTAGCATTTCTAATGTTCACACGTGACCTACGTATAATGCGTGTTTCCTTTTCCAGACATCTGCCCCACAGTTCGATTATGAGACGGTTCTCCTGAGATGTACTGAAACCTTCGACGATGAGGAGGACCTGTGAATATTTTAAGAGCTGCACTGAGAGCCGTCTTTTCAGCACTTTTGCCGACAGGAAAGAGAATCGTCCAAACAGCCCCCGTGTTTCTGGCCTGGATGAAAGCTCGCTGTCAGATGTCTCATGCCAACTGCGTGTCAAAAATTTCCAACAAAACTTTTTCCATCTGGCTGGCTGTTGGAGCAGAAATCATTTAAGTTACACCTTGTGCAGAACTGCTGTCTGCTAAACACCGCGAACAATCGCTCTTTCCTTTTAAACCTGATTGGTCAGGTGTAAGGCCTGCTGACCTATATGTGTAGCTATGTTCGAGCGTATTACCTTGTTTCATCTTTATTCTCAGAGATTACAAGGAAAGCCAGATGTCAGGTATTCCATGCCCCTAGTAAGTTGCTTCACCTCCCAAAACAACACCCTTTTCAGTGCCTATTTTATGTCAGAGTGCCTTAGCGATGTCACATGATCCATGCAAACTGGCCGTATGTATGCAGCTTTTTCCACTCAACTTGTTTTCTGGAAGACTGTGACTGCCTGGGATTTGGTCTCCTCTTTTTGTTCTTCTATGCAGGTGAAAAACAAAACAATGTTTTTTTCCAATTTTTAAAGTGTATGCATAGCCAAAACCTTTTGTAGTTTTGAATTTCATAGGTTACGGGGTTATTTTTTTTAATTTTTTTCATTGTGTCCCATTCAAAGATTCCCCTTAACATCCTGTTCTGGAGACTCAACAGGAAGTAAGAGTATATCTCCAGCATGAAGGAAAAGCCCCTCTTAGAGATTTGTTACTGGAGCAGATGTCCCCATTGGAAGGTGTACCCTCTATTCCTGTTCTGGTGACAGCTATAACGGTTTTTGGCTTCACCTTCTCTCTGTGACAATGGTCGCCAGGACAAGGAAGGCAAATCTCTCCAGAGAAGACACTGACCGGAATACAATCCTAACTCCCTCCAAAATCAAGTTTTGGCTAAACATACACTTTGAAGGAGCTTCTTTAGGTCTGTGACCAAAATATGTTCCGACCAGAAATGTTTTTGCCTTAAGTGATACTTATTTATGTTAGAAATGTAGAATAAAGTTTTAAAAAGTTTTGGTTGATTAAAAAAAATATTTATAAGACTATAAACAAACAGATGTTTTAAAGTATTTATAGACATGCTGTGTATTTAAAATGGTATTTAAACATTCCTTCTTCATTATTGTTTTCTCTGAGAGGGAAGGAGGGCGTTTTTGAACTGCTGTGCAGAACCGTTTCATGGACGTTCAATAAAAGTGTTCATATTCTGGACGTGTGGGTAAGGTGTGTGTTTTATAATGTACAAGGACTACATGTGCTCTATTTGTGTTACGTGGGGTGTCCCTGTAAGAGTTCTTAGTGTATTACCCAAGGAAAGGCACACATCAGGTCTCCTGTGACAAAAGATCAAAAGGCTGGCTGTTCCTGACGTGCTCATTGGATGTTTTTTTGTTAAAGGGGAACTTTTATAAACTATTTAGGATTGACATAGATCAACAGGGGCTTATCTATATCAAATATTTGTGAACATAGCCTAGAACTGCACAGGCACCAGGACTGACATGATCGTGTTATCACTGAGCCGGCATCTTAGTCCAGGGAGTAAATGGTGGCTCTGGATGATGACTGAACAAAGATGTCTCCATCCTTCTGGAGAGAAAAGCAGATGGAGATCTTGTACTGTGATCTCTGTGAGAGGTAATAAATTCCTGGAAGTGTTACACAGAAATATTGCCTAAAGCTGAACTCCAGGTATAAAGTTTTATGCTGTCTTATATTGGTCAGGTTTGGCCCAATGAAAGTATGCAAATGATATACCTGGTCAGCCCACAGGGATACTGGAAAGCACTGTAGCCAGATCTACTATCCTGCTTTACAGTGATCCTCCGGGGCCTGTATGTCATTGAGCTGAGTGTCTTCCCCTCTGCTCTGTGAACTCGCCCAAATACTTCGATACCGGAACTTCCGGGAAGAGGGAGATTTCCTCTGATTGGCAGTGCCACAAGGGAACATGGAGCCGGCTTCCCGGCCAATCAAGGAGGCCAGGCCGCAGGTAATGACTCGCGGCCTGGCTTCCAGATTGGCTGGGAAGCCGACTCCATGATGTTTGGCCAGCTCGATGCTGAATGGTCGGGAAGTCTGCTTCCCAGCGAATCAGCATCGAGTCGGCAAAACAGCATGCAGCCAGCTTCCCGTCTAATCAGGAAGCCGGGCCGTGGGTAATGACCTGCATCTCGGCTTCCTGATTGGCTGGGAAGCCGGCTCCATGCTGGGTATCGGCGAGTACCAATATATAAATATTTGTACTTGATACCGAAAAAACAGTATCCGTGCGTCCCTGGTGACAGCACTGTCTTTCTATATCATGTACACAATTCCACCGAAGACATTGGATTTTTAAGGTGTCAAGAAAATAAAAAACGCGACATTTCTATATATACATACATCAAATAAATTCACATCAAATAAATTCACATATAATCCTATCATTGGTGGATTGTTATATAATGGTGGGACCTGATACCGGGATGGGTTTAAACATACTGTGGGTATTAATATCTTTTCGCAGATACATTTTAATTTTCTCGACACCTTTTAAAAATCCCATTTTTTTTTTTTCTGTGGAGTTGTATGCTTTGACTGAGGGATGTCTTTGTACAAAGTCAGTGACTAGACCTTCTATCCTGTACACCAAGGTAGTGTTGTCACCCTGAATGCTACCTCCTTCAGTGAACTACAAGACAATATCCCACTATTATGCATGCCAACACGCCCAGCCCATTTGATACCTCCATCTACTACTACTACTACTCAGTGTGGAAGCATCTCCCCACTGCTGCTCCTGCATTGCAAAGAACAACGTGGAACTCCAATCTGTTTCTACTGCCATCCTACAATGACCTTGCTCATCTCCGGCCATCTGCCCCTCCCCGACTACCGGCTGTCTGGGTTGCTGCGAGTACCTGCGAACTTGCCTCGTATCCTGCATTTGAGGATCCACCTGCTATTTCCAGTCTTCGGTTTCTCAGGGCCCCTACAGCTGCAAACATCTTTCCATAACATCCGCTCTTTGAGGTATTTCTCTGTGGGGATTGAAAGCACACACATGGGTCCTGGACACCCCCTCCAGTGTCTTCCAATGCCAGATTGAGAGATCCTTGTCCTAGCTCCTGTCCCAACCTGCTCTAGGCTTCTCACAGAACAGCAACATGTCTACTTTGGGACATGTTAGCCCAGCACCCCTGTTTCCAGAGAGATCCTATGACTCTAGGATGTGCACAGATGGCTTAGCGTCACCTCAGCACTGTTACTTTATAACCTTGCCACTGCTTTTTGGGACCCTTTTAGGTATTGTCCCAGTTCCCTTTCATGGAATTTACATGGTAGGACACTCAGATGACCTCCTGTGGAGATCAGTCAATGTAAGCTCTGGTAGACAACATCACCCCAACAGTCCAAACCCCTTCAAGGTCTGGGCGGATCTTGTATTGTCAGACGACAACAACGTAGCTGGTCATTGTATGAGAAGAGTCCAGAGGTCCAGCTAAGCAACACACACATTGATGCATTTTACCAAAAATAGATTCTTCGGCGTGGCTTCAAAGATGCCATTTGTGACCAAACACATCAGCAGGACGCGTGGGGTGCATAGCTGGACCTCTAGACTTTTCTAATATATCCACAGCCTTTGACAGCAATACAATATATGGACTATTAATCATTTGTGTTGCCATGCAGCAGATAATCATAGGACTCAGTAAGATCAACCCTTATCTGATCATACTGCAAGCAGGCACACTTGCAGGTCATTCTATTTTGCCAAGAGTGGGCCTACTGTATTTCCCTAGAGACATTGGGGGGGAATTGATCAGAACTGGAGCAGACAGAATCTGGAGCAGTTGTCCATAGCGACCAATCAGCTTCTCTCTTCATTTTGTTAAGCGTTAAAAATGAAAGAGAAGCTGATCGGTTGCCATAGGTCACTGCTCCAGATTTGATAAATTGCCCTCATTGTGTTCCTGGTTAATATTTTGCATCCAGCCCTGTATACACAAAACAATAGAGCAAAGCACAACGATATCACAAATATAGTACGTTGCTATTTAGATCATCTTGGCAGCGCATTTTGGCCTCCTAAGTCAACTATTTTGTATTTTAGTTTTGGACGGATATACTATATTCCACATCCACATATTACTCTTTGCAGCATCCACCTTAGGAGTTTTAAACACAGAGAACGGCACTCTCAATTTGTGTTTCTAATACAGGTTTGGATATTTCCATTCATTAATCATGCTGACATACTGTATGTATGATGCATAAAAAGTGAGCCACGATAGGTTTAAATGATGGGACTGTTGGGTGTGCTGAGACGCGGCTCCCCAGGAGCTGGAGGACCATTTATGTAACCCCATCCCAAGAGAGATTGTCAGTCCACTGGTTGGAACCCGCACAACAAAACTTTCTGACATTATAGATATCATTGAGATACAGATTAATCATTGTGGTACCAATTCAAGCCTTGGTTCATCTTTGGTGTAGACTGAGAATGATAGATTCCTCTATGGCATGTACCAACCTGTAACTACTGGCTATTTTGAGAAGGACTGTATATCAATGTATGCAGTCTGGATGGGGCCCCAATTGCTTCCTGTAAGGCACTCAGAAGGGAGAGGTGGAGCTGGCATGCTACCCATTGAAAGTTGACTGTTTCTTCGGTCATGATAAATAACTTTTTACCACTTTTTCCTGAAGAAGCCGTTACTAAAGATTGCGAAATGCGTTGAATTCTGTTGAGAGTGAGCCATTTCTTTACACCAACATGATGTTTGTATGTAGAGTACACCAGTTCGATGGCAACTAATTGTTTCACATATATATATAAAATCACAGCGGTATTTTATATATATTGTTGTATATCAAATAGATGCCACCGAGGTTGCCTCTCTAGATGAGTAATTTAGGTTGATGGATATATGGGGGTATGTCTTTT